GCCGCTCATTTGTAACATTGCCTGGACTTCTTCGCAGAAACCATACCCTTGCAACTTGTCGAAAACCGGGCTTGAACCCCGCAACATGTGACTCATTGCTTTTCCAGCGCAGCAAGCTGCTGCATCGCTGGCCAGGCACAGGGCCTCCGGTCCAGCAAAGTAAAGGCCCGGAAAGGAAGCTCACTGAACCTCCACATCCCAACGGCCTGAACCATAAAAAACCCGAACCCTGGATAATCGCACGCGGCATTCTTGCAAACTCGAACCATGCCATTAGAGGTTCTTGAGGAAGCATTGGACAATGTGAGCACCCATGCGCATCACAGTGAAGAAACAACAGGCAGTACGAACAGCACAAGATGCAACGTAAGGCCTAAACCCCAAACCGCAAACCCCAAACCCCAAACCCTAAACCCTAAGCCCTATCTGGTACCAAGTCATAGAGAGCCAAGAGTCAAGACAGGGTTAAACTGCTGCTCACAGACGAGAACTAGCCGCCACAAAGAGAGACAAAGGCAGCCCATCGAGGAAACCGGAGCGTGTCCGTCCTGTAAGTTTGATGGTGTGAGAAGTGTGAAGACATCTTTCACTATCAGATCTAGCAGCGTAGTGAGGCAACTGTCACTCGCAACTCCGCCTTAATTTCCCTATGCTCGGTTGCTGTGATGAATATGACAGTCGAGGCTGCTAAGCAATGTGCTGACTTCAGTACTGCAGTGAGGCCACTGAGTTACGCCGCGGATAACAGCGTGGAAACAAAACATCCCTTGGCAAACCTCATGTTCAACCGATGCATGGTCTACTGTAAGCCCTCCAAACCCTCAATCGTCGGCCTGCACAGCTCAACCTCCTCCCACCGAAAACCCAAAAAAAAACACAGGGCCAAGAAACACGGGATCTGCTATTCAGCCGGGTCAAGCCTCGGAGGCTTAAAGAGCCAAGCCCAGGAAGTCGTGCCCTCGGGCTCTGTCGCCTCCGCGTCCGTGGCGCGCGCGCGTTGAGTTCCGAAGGGGGTTTAGGGTTTAGGGTTTAGGGTTTAGGGTTTAGGGTTTAGGGTTTAGGGTTTAGGGTTTAGGGTTTAGGGTTTAGGGTTTAGGGTTTGCTTCTTGAGAGTGGGCTTGAGGGCCTTGAGGGCTGCAGGCGCCAGTCTTCACTTGGCGAGGATTCTTCCCGGAAATGAGGAAGTGCAGCCTTATCCGAGCCTTAACCCCGTGGTTGGGTGCTCACAGCGCCTGAACTTGGAGATTGCACTTCGATTCCAGTTGCCATGTGTTCACTCTTAGGGTGCATATGTTGGCGCCTGGTACCAAGTTCATGAAGTTGAGCTCATCTTGTGTTTCTCTGTGTTAACAAAAAAACTGTGTGCCTGAACCCTACACCCTAAACCCTAAACCACTAAACCTGAAGCCCCAAAGTCCCCTCCCACTCGTGCTCCTGCCGATCGGGGGCTGCGCCGCCGGGGATGGGCCTCTCGAACGCATGAGCCATGTCCTTCGAACCCACAAGCAAACTAGCTCGGGAAAGAACAGCTACTCTGCACCAGGCTAAACTCCAATCAAACCGTGCCCGTAAAGCCGCAAAGCCCTCCCAGTCCCCATGTATACTCGTCAGCCAACTTTCAAACCAAACCTGGGCAGTCTTCCCTGCCTCTTTCCCTGCCGGAAGCACGAGCGCTGCCACATCCGGCGGGACCTTGGGGCCGGACCATTCATTCCTGTTAGGCCCTGAAGCCTAAGCTGTAGACGCTAGCGCCCACATGCCCTCAGATCCCTGTGCCTCTTAGCTTGCTTCTTGTTTAGCGTTTCAAACAAAAACCCCGACATTGGAGGGCTTTGGATTTGAGGAAGGTCCCGGCTACCTCACGAGCCAAGAAAGGAGCACCTCCCAAGATTTCCGACGTTCGGATACAACAAGCAAATTTCATTTGCGTAGATTTTAAACTGGAGAGCCTAATCAGGAGCATCTTTCACAGCCAAAAATATACAAATGGAAGACATCAACCAAAAACTGCCCCCGGCTTTGGTGTGACTGAGCGCCATCTGGGCACAGGCGTGGGAACTACAGGCGCCCAGAGGCTTTCGGCTCTAAGGCTGCGTCCATGCAGTCCTCGTTGACACCGAAGATCTTCTTTTTCAAGACCTGCGCGGTGGGTCCCAAACTTGCTCCTGCGTTCACTTACCTTGAAACGTTGAACGCTTGAAGGGACACCAGAGATAGTTTTAGGCCCTGAGGCGACATCTTCACAGGCGGCAGCAAACTCAAGCATCCCTTGTCTCCTTTTCAACCAACAGAGAGATCAACCTCCTAATAATGCTCCGGCAACAGGGTCGCCAATGAGCCCTAAGCGCTCAACCCATTCAATCATGGGTGGCCTCCAAAATGACGCAGAATGGCTGCCTCGGTTGTGAAAAAAATTGCGACGGACGCGTCCGCTGGGAGCTTCTCGAGGTTTTTAGGAGGGATGAAAAGCTGGGGCAACCTTCCCAAAGAGCCCAATACCCCTTAATTAAGGGAATATTAGGAATATTCCTTAAATCATCATAAGGATCCCTTTTTAATTTAAGCTATCTTCCTTAGTGAAGGGGTATTGGGCTCTCTGGGTTTGCCTTCCGATGCTTCGTGCTCACGGCTAAGCCTGAAAAGTCGGAGACCATGGCCGCCTGCCGTAGGGAATCTACTTCTCTTATTAAGCATAGGGGTCGTGGGTTTAGGGTTTAGGGTTAGGGTTTAGGGTTTGGGGTTCAGGGTTTAGGGTTTAGGGTTTAGGGTTTAGGGTTTAGGGGTCGAGATAGTGGCGTTGCCTGCAGCGACCACACTCTCTCACCCGTTTAGACTCAATGCTGCAACTCAGACAGATGGGGCCCAGTCCGAACCCATGAAGCGGAACAGCTTAAGCTGAGCGCCCCAAACATTGGAAGCAGAACGGCTCAGGGTTCTGGGGGCTTGAAGATGTAAAAAATTAAGAAACCCTTCTGTGGCCCTGCATCTGCCGAGGTGCGGGTCGCAAGGGGGGAAGGCCACGAGGCCCTCGCCAATGATGTGAGCGTTCCGCTTCTGGCGACGAATGCGGCTTAGGTTCCACGGCAGGCGTGCAATGGCTCACAGGGCTCAGCTCGGTCATTTGCACGCGCAATGCGTAAGCCCAACCCACTACCAGGCGCTTAGCCCTACTTGCTGCTGCGCTCCATACATTGGGGTGTAGAAAGGATAGAGCAGAGCGCAGGTATGTCATTTACGAATGCTCAAGGAATGATGTTGTCTCAGAAGGTGAGTGGGTGAACGCAGCTCGCATCTCGAGCCCATGAGCCCAAACTGCAAGCTCCGAATGCAAACCTCTGAGCCCCAAACGAACCCTCAATGCCTCTAGGGTTGTTTCATGCTAAAAAACCCCTAAATGCGACGTTAAAACACCCTGAATGGTTTTTTAACGTTGCAAAAACCCTCAAGGCGACGTTAAAAGACCCTGAATGGTTTTTTAACGTTGCAAAAACCCCTAAATCAAAAGCCCCTAAATGCGACGTGAAAAAGCCCTAAATGGCTTTTAACGTTAAAAAACCCTCAAGTGTGCTGCGGCTGCCTTCGCGTACTTGCGGATCTTTCCCTCCGTGCCGAAGAGGTTCCAGCCCAATCTCGGCAGGAAGGGGGTTTAGGGTTTAGGGTTTAGGGTTTATGGTTCAGGGTTTAGGGTTTAGGGTTTAGGGTTTAGGGTTAGGGTTTAGGGTTTAAACATCAAAAACCGCTCAGACCTCCGCCCACCGCTTGACAGAACCTCCTCGGCTTGGGGCCCCCTATGGACTCCTCATATGCAGGCCCCTTTGGGCCACCCGACGCCAATCTAGACCCCTGCGTGAATATTACCAGCAATGAGCTGTCTATGACAAGGCATTATTAAAGGGCGCGACACATTGACGTTTTGCCCTAAACCCTTGCAGGTGGAGTATTCTGATGAACATCATAATTTGGGGAGGTGTCAGTCGTTCCTCAAATGGCGAAACGTTAGTGCAGAGTAGAACTTGAATGGGCCGCCCTTGCGGGCTCGCACTTCTGAACCAACCCGAAGGAACATGTCCCGATCCATTGGGGAGGATGCTTCAGTTGCTAATCAGATAACCCTAAACCCTAAACCCTAAACCCTAAACCCTAAACCCTAAACCCTAAACCCTAAACCCTAAACCCTAAACCCTAAACAGTGGATCTTGGCCTGTGGGGCCTAAGGCGGCCACATGTTTCCATGTCGGAGGGCAGCTTCTGGTGAGATGTATTCTCCTCCGGGTTTAGGGTTTAGGGTTTAGGGTTTAGGGTTTAGGGTTTAGGGTTTAGGGTTTAGGGTTTAGGGTTTAGGGTTTAGGGTTTAGGGTTTAGGGTTCAGGGTCAGGGTTCAGGGTTCAGGGTTCAGGGTTCAGGGTTCAGGGTTCAGGGTTCAGGGTTCAGGGTTCAGGGTTCAGGGTTTAGGGTTTAGGGTTTAGGGTTTAGGGTTTAGGGTTTAGGGTTTAGGGTTTAGGGTTTAGGGTTTAGGGTTTAGGGTTTAGGGTTTAGGGTTTAGGGGGTCGTGTCTGTGGCTTTGGTATAGAATTTCAGAGTTGGGGGTTTCCGAAGATAGGGGTGCGCTTTTTGGGGGCCCATTGAAGGGGATTCTATTCTATTTTGGGAAAAAACGGGGTACCCCTATTTTTGGAAATGCCCATTTAGGGCTTCTTAAAGCAACGTAAAACAAGCGAACTGGAGGACGGCGACTCTTTCACGCTAGCTTCTCCGCCTTTGGTCGAAGCAAACTGGCACGGTTGTCATTGATAGAAAGCAAGGCCCTGGTGCCCCAAACCAACCTGATCCACGCTTGCAGCTGTCCGTAGGTAAGCTCGTTTGACAGGCCTGCACCCGCCTATACTTACAAAACCTTCTTCTTCACCACGTGCACGTGCACGTGAAGCACTCCCCCACACGAATAACCCCCTCCACAGTAGGGAGGACATCCTTCCGGTCCTTGAACTTCGGCCCCTCGAACCCCACAGACCCTATCACTCCTAAACCCTAAACCCTAAACCCTAAACCCTAAACCCTAAACCCTAAACCCTAAACCCTAAACCCCTAAACCCTAACCCCTAACCCCTAAACCCTAAACCCCAAATCCCCTGATCAGGATGGTTTGGAGCCTTTGCCACTGCCTGTCTGCAGGCGCTGGCCGGCAGATGGGCGTCGAGCGGCTCAACAAAGGCGGGCTGCGATTCCGCGAGAAATTTTAAGCTTCTGAGAGGTGAGGGCCTTTGGGCTTTTTGTTAAGGTTGAGGGGCAACTGCTTCTGGCTTGGGTTGCCTTCTCACCTCGTGCTGAGCCGCCCCATGCATGCAAGAAATTCACTCATAGACTCATAGTCAGAATGGAGCACTCCGATGTGGCGGCTTCATATGTACCAAAGGGAGACAGCTACCAGCAAGTAGGCGCCAATCCTCAGCTGCAACTCGCTGCTGGGCAAAAGCTGCCGGGCTCCAAATGCACATGAAGTCAAGGAAGGGCCCCCTGTCCTTCTTATGGACATTGACTTCGAGAAGCTGCCCCGAGGCTGTACCCCTGACATGAACCCCAAGCCCGAATTCAGCCTTAACCCCCTGTCGCAAAGCCCTACGCAACCAAATGGAACGAAATGAGACACGAGGCAGCGCCGCTCCCTCGAGCCAGTTCGACTCCCCATCGCTGATCGTGCTTCCAACAATCCTGAGGGCTGTGCACTCAAACGGTTGGCAGGCCTTTTGGCTTCGGCTTCAGGTCGACAAGCCAGGAGGGGTGGCATGAAGGTTTTTGGGGGCTGCATTTGGGTCAGGCTACGAATTCATTGAAGCACCCTACAGTAGACCTGGACCTCCATGTAAAAAAAAAGTCGCCGGGTCATCGACTCGACCAGCCCGAAAACCTAACTCACGCTTTGACGAATGCCAGGATGCAGCACCGTCAGCAGCATGATGGACACGTCCAGCCTTTTGAGGTTTAGGGTTTAGGGGGTGTTAGGGTTTAGGGTTTAGGGTTTAGGGTTTAGGGTTTAGGGTTTAGGGTTTAGGGTTTAGGGTTTAGGGTTTAGGGTTGAGGCTTTCGGTTTAGGGTTTAGGGTTTAGGGTTGAGGCTTTCGGCTTTGGACAAATCCGAAAGAGCCTTTCGCAGTCACTTTGCTGGGGCTCTGGCGACTTGAAGTTCAGATCCATTGGGACGTCCATAAACCAGCCAGCGATGACCTCGGAATAGGCGGGGGAGCTCAGGGCCCAGGGCTTGGCATCTCTCTTCCTCACGAAAAAAGTGCACCGCGCAAGGCTCCGCACTCGGCCATGCAGAAAGTCAAGACGATGCTCTCAAGAATGCTCCGAGCCGCCGTGAACGGAACCACGAACAGAGCCTGAGTTGCAGCGAGCACTGAGAAGGTGAGCATACTCGTCCATCAAAGACGGGCCTCTGGGCAGTGTCCGCTTCTGTGCTTAGCTTGGTGGCCAGATGCTATGTGCAGGGAGCACCGCGGGAACGCGGCTTCTCTCTCCTAAACTGCTAGGAGGTAGCAAAACAAACCAAGACCATCCAGCCGAAAGACGATCTGCGTGCTGCTGCCCAGAGCCACACCCAGGGACAGGTCCATCTTGTCCTGCGTTGTTTCTTTGCTTCTGGGTGCCATGACAAGAACGACTGTTCTGGAAATCTCGGGGGCACAATCATCCGTCCTTGGTGGCCACGGTCACGGCAGTGAGGTGCTCTGCTGCATTTCCAACCTGTGCCCAACATGGACAGCCGTAATCTTCCAAAAGCCTGGTGTTCACTTTGGTCTCAGGCTTCACACGGAGTGAGTCAGATTTAGGGTCCGTCCCGTTTGCAAACTTCTGACTTTTCTGAGGCAAGCTGAGCAGCGCTTGTGCCATGCAGAGGATGTGAGAACGCGCAAAACCCTCATGGGATGACAAGTCTGCCCAAATCTCTGACGACTTCGTAGCTTCAAGTTCTTCTAGAATGCATGATTCGCCTGAACCCTATGCATCTATGGCAACATGCACAATCTGGCAGTCGTAGGTGCCTGTCAGATAGTGACTCGGCATTCTCTAAGGTGGGCTTCTCGGGGTTTCGGGTGGACAAGTTGCTGTCAACCTTCTCAACTAAACGCACGCAGCACATAGCACATGTGAGGGGACGGATCCCAGATTTAAGAGCCTGGCTGGCGTGTGCAAAAGCCAGAAGTCAGACAACAAAATGTCGACTGCGAAACAGGTAAACTCGCAAGGGAGGATGACTACCGAGTTGGCAGGCAAGCTTTCAACTCTGGTCAGGCATCCCGTGGCATCCCCCTTTCCATGCGCTGAAGCCCATGTGTCCAAGCCACGATAGGTAGCAAGATCACGCCAACGAAGGCATCCGAGATCTGCAGGGTCTTCGTCACACCCTCCACAGAGCCTTCATTGCTTTGAAGATGGTACGAACACATATGAATCCGTGCACCACGAGCTCGTTCCTGCCACCTCGAAACAGCCTCAAATCAAATGCCAGAAGCCTAAACCCTAAACCCTAAACCCTAAACCCTAAACCCTAAACCCATGAAGCTCTGCAAGGCCCAGGGTTTGGGGTTTCATGGCTCAGGGTCCTCCAACTTCGCCAGGGCCCAGCCTGTGAGCCCTTCGGAAAGAGGAGCCACGATCAGCGTGGCCGCGAGCCTGAGCTGGAGGGTCGTGGGTCTCAGTTTGGGGTGCAGGGCTTTAGGGTTTAGGGTTTAGGGTTTAGGGTTTAGGGCTTAGGGCTTAGGGTTTAGGGTTTAGGGTTTAGGTTTTAGGGTTTAGGGTTTAGGGTTTAGGGTTTAGGGTTTAGGGTTTAGGGTTTAGGGTTTAGGGTTTAGGGTTGAGGGTGGGTCGGTGCCCTACAGCTGATTTGGCTACTTGCATTGTCGAGAATCTGAGTTTGACATTGCTTCGAGGGACTGTGGTAAGACTGGCTCACAACTCCAGTCGGGCGGGAACACTCTGAACACCACGTGGTGAACGCCACGCCCCGAAAGAACCTGTCAACTTCATCAGCTACAGCAAGGGGATCTGCTCCAAATGCCGCAGCCGAGCCATCAGCCCCCAAAAGCCCCCGAAATCCCCTTGAAGCCCCCCCAAAAAGCCTCGGAAAAATCCATTTGAGGAGATCCTGCAAAAAAGCTGAACCCTAAACCCTAAACCCTAAACCCTAAACCCTAAACCCTAAACCCTAAACCCTAAACCCTAAACCCTAAACCCTAAACCCTAAACCCTAAAGTCAAGGAGCAAGAGGGCCAGGGCCGCTCCCTTGGACAGCGTCGGCTGCGCCTGCTCTTGGCACTTCGGATTTCGCCTTTTTTGCTTGCTGTTGGTTAGTAGGGAATGGGGGAATGAGGTACCCCATGGAATCCCTTAAAGGGTATATCTACTCACTCCCTAGTAAAAAGGGGGGGGGGGGGCTGCCGCTTTCACTTTAGGGCTCAAGGTCTCTGAGGTGGCCTAAGTCGCCCAGTAAGTGGTGCAGAGCGCAGTCAGCTTGCGGAGTTTACGGAGAGAGTTTACGGAGTCCTTGTTTGAAAGTGTTTTGTGCATATTCCACACTCTGCTGAAACCTTCCTGAGCAGGCATGGGAAGGAACCCTGGTGAAAAGAAAAGCTGGGAGTTGTTTGCCAGCGTCTGCGAGATGCCCCACATCATGTGGTGGATGTGGCATTGCTACTGTGTGTAGGCATGCATCGTCGTTTGCTTTCCAAAGGTCTCTGTGTGTGTTTGTGTAGGTGTGCGCGTGTGTTTATCTGTCTCAGTGTGTCTCTGTGTGTCTCAGTGTGTCTCTTCGCGTCTTTGTGTGTCTCCAAGTGTCTCTTTGTAGCCAGCATAGCCAACCGAAACCAAGCCCACATAGCAGAAATCATAGGCCAAGCGCAGCGTCGCAGACGTCTGTTCTCACCGGGCGAGTCAATTTTAGCGTTTTGTCCACATGGTCAAGGGTTTAGGGTTTAGGGTTTAGGGTTTAGGGTTTAGGGTTTAGGGTTTAGGGTTTAGGGTTTAGGGTTTAGGGTTTGAGAAGGCGACTGGGACAAAGGTCTCCCGGCATGAGGTGTCCAGGTGTCCAATTACTATTTGTCGCATGGAGGGAAGGTCAAAACCCCCACGTAGCCCGATATCATCCTAAAGAACCACCTAATTCTCCCAACACTCCAAAGCCCTGTAAGCTTGAGGTTCTAATGCCCTGGAGTTTCCACAAGCCTAAACCCTAAACCCTAAACCCTAAACCCTAAACCCTAAACCCTAAACCCTAAACTGAAAAGCCGAAGAATGAGCCGTGCCTCTTCGGACTCCTCCCCGTCGGCTTCCGTAGCAAACTGCTCCTCCCACTCGCATTTTACGTGCTTCAAGAAGGTTTTTAGGGTTTAGGGTTTAGGGTTTAGGTTCAGCGCTTGAAGGTTTTTCCATGAGCGAATGTGAGCTTCGGCTGCAGGCCCTTGAGGTTTAGCGGTTTAGGGTTTAGGGTTTAGGGTTTAGGGTTTCGGGGTTTAGGGTTTAGGGTTTAGGGTTTAGGGCTTAGGGGTTTAGCGATTTTCAAGGTACAAGGCTAGTCCGAGGCGTCCTTGTGTGTGAAGAGCTGGAAGACCAAGTAGCAGATGTAAAGCACTGCCAAGACAACTGCCTTAGACTGAGTCAGTGAGGATCAGGGTTTAGGGTTTAGGGTTGAGGGCTTCTATTCCAACAAAACCTCCTGCCACATTCTCCGTGAATGAATGCTGTGGATCTTCGATGGCCCCCCCCCCCCAAGCTGAGGCAACAAAGCACAAGAGCCTAACCCAGGATACTGAAACGCACCAGCTCGAAACCTCCCAAGGGCCTCAGAGCTTACCAAACCTTCGTGAGCTCAGGGATTTTCGGGAGCTGAGGGCCCAGGGACCGCCCTAGTTTCTGCCAATGCGCGCAGCCGCGAGAGATCAGCAGCTCGCTATCTGGCCGGGCACCAGTCAAGAGGACCACCGTGGGGATCACCTGGGCCGCTGGCATCATCCAGGCTTCCCAGAGACTCCAAAACCCCTAATTAAGGAATATACCTTAAATTATAATAGGAACCCTAATATGATTTAAGGTATATTCCTTAATTAAGGGGTTTTGGAGTCTCTGGCTTTCTCGCGATCTTGCCACATGCGGTTGGTGCCGTAGGAGTCAGCCGAACAGTGCACGTGCAGCGGGCTTTTGGGGCCCGCAGGGTTCCGCTGGGGAAAGTCGTGGCAGGGAGAAGAGGGGAGAGTGGGGAAGGAGGGCGGGGGGGAGGGCGGGGGAGGGGGAGGGGGGGGGGGGGGGGGGGGGGGGGGGGGCGGGGGAGGGGGAGGGTGGAGGGCGGGGGGGGAGAAGTGCAAAGGTGCGGAAGCCGCTGCCGTGGCCACTGGCGAGGTGGGTCGCGTAGCGTTACAATTGTCAATGTACTCCATGTACTCTTGAACGCACTCTTTCCGTTTTTCGACTAGGTTGGACAGTGCTTCAGGCCCTACATAGGGTTGCCCAGACTCCGCACTTACAGGGTTCACGACCCCCAGGGAGGGCTTGAGTTCCTCTTCTTCCTCTCTTACAAGCATCATGGCTCCAGCAGAATGCCAACCGTGAGACACACTGAGTTCAGTGGAAAGACGAAGGTAAGAAGAGGGAGAGAGCATCTCCCTCTTCTTGTTGGACACAGATCCAGAAAGACGATTGCGAACACACAACCGAGCTACTACTCAAGTTCCCATGCATGGCTACAACTGTGAAGCTTTCTGCAGTTTCAACTCAGGTCCACAGTTTTGCTGGGAGGCCAGAGCCAGAACTGCCAGTAGAAGCAGGGAGTACTGCGCGCGTGCGCCAGTAGGGCCTGTGCTCGCAGCGACGCGAGGCGGTGCATTTGGGGCCCAGGGGATTGGGGGATGTCGGCTTGATCTCTAAAGTCGACCTGAGATTTCCAAACTTTGATTATCAAGACCATCGGGACTAGGTTGAACTTTGCTTGCGCTGAAAGCTTCGATGTCAGGTTCGGTTCATGAGCGCGGGCCACAACCCGGCTGTCACGCACGAAACCACAAAAAAGGGCAAGGCCACAACACGATCCCAAGAGCAGGCCATCCAAGAGCCCCTGCGCTGTGTCTTTCATCATTCAGGGTTTAGGGTTTAGGGTTTAGGGTTTAGGGTTTAGGGTTTAGGGTTTAGGGTTTAGGGTTTAGGGTTTAGGGTTTAGGGTTTAGGGTTTAGGGTTTAGGGTTTAGGGTTTAGGGTTTAGGGTTTAGGATTCAGGCTTTAGGATTTCGCATCCTCAAGCGTCTTCAAGCATCCTCAAGCCTCCAAAATCCTGAACTCGTTTTTGAAGACTTCGAAAGCCCCTCTCAAGCAGCAAGCAGCTGAAGCGCTGCGTGTTGTACTTCAGTCCGCCGCAGAAGAAGCACATGCCTCAGAGCGCGAAGTCACAAGCCTCAAGACCCAACCCAAAATCCCAGAGCTCAAAAACATCTTAACAGCGACCCTGGGGGAGGGAGGGGAGCGGTTTTGGGGGAGCTCGATGCCTTCGTTTTGGGTTTCCGCAAGGGCAGGGCAAAAAGTAGTCGCAAAGCTGCGGGCTACGCCCGAGCGGGACCTCCAACGCTTTACATATTCAGCTTGATGTCCCTTAGCCACTGCATCCTCGACTCCTGAACTCACATCCTGTTTTGGTTTGCAACAAACCGCCATCAGCCTCTCCCGTCAAAATGCCCGTCAAAGGAATATGAATCGCCCCTTTGGTGGCTTAGACAGAACAGTGGGCACTGACCCACAAGGAATCTCAAGTCCACGGCCCATTGAATCATTGGGGGGTCATCCCTGTAACCCGCAGTCATTCTGCCAAGATTCCAAGCACCAGCAGCAAGTTCGACACAATACTCCCGACCAGGCTCCCCTTCACCACCTGTGCAGGAGTAGGTGTTTGCGTTCAAGGACACCCAACCTGCCTAAGTCCTGCGGCGCTCTGTTGCATGTTGGTTTGCGATTGGATTTCGGCTGTTGTATGTTAAAAGGCCTGAGCACGCAATAATGATAAGTTGTGACAGTTGCAATGGTGCATGGGGGGCGGCCTACATGCTTTGAGACTACCCGTGGTAATAATTGAAAGCGACCATGGCAAAGGCGTGGCTGAGAGCTCCGGGCAGAATGTGTGAAGCCAGACTGTTCCCGGTTTCCTAGTTGTCCTATTTGGTTGGTTTCTTGGTTGTGCTTCTGCTTTACGCGCGGAGAAGTCTAACACCTGGAGCTCATGGAAATTCAGGATTGATCCGCATCCCGCCCGTTCCGAAACCCTGCCGGAAATCCACACTCCTGCTGCAGCTAATCCTGAGCAATCTAGGTGCTGGAGACAAACGGTGCCAAAGCAGCTTGTAAAGAGTAGAGGGGTTCAGGCCGGGTACTCGGCCAGGGAGGAGAAAAATCAAATTGGTGAGGATGTTTAGGGCTTCGGCCTTGGGTTGAGAAGACTCAGGAGCGCCGGCATGCAGGGCGAAGGAACCAGAACCCCAAAATTCCCAAAGCCTGCGAGTGGGGATAGGATTAGGGGGACCCCTTGGCGATGGAGACCCTCTGTGTAAGGTCCCTGCTTCAGAGGGCCAGAAGAGGGTTAAAAAGGGTGCCCGTGTAAGGGTCCCCCTGATCCTGCCTAGGAAGGAGGGGCTTTGACATGGTTTGACCTCCTGTTCTGCTTTACGAGTCCGTCTTTCACCTACTGGCCCTAAACCCTAAACCCTAAACCCTAAACCCTAAAACGCAGAGTTTGACAGACCCAGGGTTGGCTCACTCTGAAAGCCCTGCCTCGGTCAGGCCCTTTTGCAATGCGAAGATTGCCTGAGCTGCAGCGTTCACGCGAACCCACCCACCCCCCCCCCCCCCCCCGTGGGTTTAGGGTTTAGGTTTAGGGCTTAGGGTTTAGGGTTTAGGGTTTAGGGTTTAGGGTTTAGGGTTTAGGGTTTAGGGTTTAGGGTTTAGGGTACCACACAGAGTGTCACTTAACATTCAGACATACTGCAGATGAACCTGAGGCTTCGCCCTCGGTCCAGCCCGACACTCAAGAGCCTTAACATGAAGGGCTGAGGGCTTGGGCCTTCAGTGCTGTTTTTAGGGTTTAGGGTTTAGGGTTTAGGTTTAGGGTTTAGGGTTTAGGGTTTAGGGTTTAGGGTTTAGGGTTTAGGGTTTAGGGTTTAGGGTTTAGGGTTTAGGGTTTTAGGGTTTAGGGTTTAGGGTTTAGGGTTTAGGGTTTAGGGTTTAGGGTTTAGGGTTTAGGGTTTAGGGTTTAGGGTTTAGGGTTTAGGGTTCAGAATGTTGAGGGCTTTGCGGGTTCTTTGGAACGCGTAGAGGGGCAAGTTTACACCCACATGGAACATCGCTAGGGCTTTGAAAGGCTTACACGGCTCAGAGGTCAAGAAGACCCTGTGCAGGGCCTTCACGGCATATGGTGAAGAATGGTTTGCGGATGCTTGCGGGGGGCCATGTCTCTCCGTTAAAAAGCAAATTCCGCACCGCATGATCTGCCACGCTTTCAATGCTTTCAAAGCAGGCAGCATGGGTGCCTCTCAAAGAAAAACTAAGCATTGCTGCGCTGGTGGCTGAATGTGAACAAAACGGCGTCCCAAATGAATATCCCTCAGCCGTGCACCTTGTGTGCCCACTTTCGACCGACTCGAACCCAGTTTGAAGCCGCTGAAGCTCGACATGCCAAGAACCCTACAAGGCCCTGCAAAAGGCCCTACCCAGAGGGCCCAATACCCCTTAATTAAGGAATATAGCTTAAGTTATACAGGGATCCTTTTTATGATTTAAGGAATACTCCTTAATTAAGGGGTATTGGGCTCTTTGGGAACAGCGTGCAGGCCAGGGTCGATGATCATCTCCACGGCGTTGCCAAAAGTGGCGTTAAGAAGGCCTGGGCCAGGTACTGAGGCCTTGAAACTTCGGCATGCAGGCCCAGACCAGACCAGACAGAACACACAGAGAGACACAAAGAGAGAGAGAGAGAGAGACAGAGACAGAGACAAAGAGACGGAACGCAGAGACGGAGACAGGAGAGACAGGAGAGACAGGAGAGACAGGAGAGACAGGAGAGACAGGAGAGACAGGAGAGACAGGAGAGACAGGAGAGACAAAAGAGACAGGAGAGACAGGAGAGACAGGAGAGAGACGGGAGAGAGACGGGAGAGAGACGGGAGAGAGACGGGAGAGAGACGGGGGAGAGACAGGAGAGAGACGGGAGAGAGACGGGAGAGAGACGGGAGAGAGACGGGAGAGAGACGGGAGAGAGACGGGAGAGAGACGGGAGAGAGACGGGAGAGAGACGAGAGAGAGACGGGAGAGAGACGGGAGAGAGACGGGAGAGAGACGGGAGAGAGACGGGAGAGAGACGGGAGAGAGACGGGAGAGAGACGGGAGAGAGACGGGAGAGAGACCGGAGAGACGGGAGAGAGACGGGAGAGAGACGGGAGAGAGACCGGAGAGAGACGGGAGAGAGACGGGAGAGAGACGGGAGAGACGGGAGAGACCGGAGAGACGGGAGAGGCGGGAGAGACGGGAGAGACGGGAGAGGCGGGAGCGACGGGAGAGGCGGAGAGGCGGAGAGGCGGAGAGTCACCCCTCTGCCACCCTCTCCCACCCTCTCCCTCTCCCGCCCACTCCCAACCCCTCCCACCCTCTCCCACCCTCTCCCACTCTCTCCCACCCTCTCCCACCCTCTCCCACCCTGTCCCACCCTCCCACGAAGACAAGCACAGATAGGCACAACACACGCAGACGCTCCAAGGCCTCCCAGCGTCTGTCCCACGGAGCAGGCGAGCTGCTCCGTCGCCTCTCCGAGCCTCGGCACCGGAAAATTCACAGGTACTGCCATGGTGCCTCGGGAAGTTCCCCCTCATACTAAGAGTCCTTGATAGGGATTATAATAAGGGGGTACGATAATCCGATTTTAAGGACTGCGAATATATCCCATTCAGAAAAGCCTGGCAAAGAACTACTCTGGGAGGACACTC